TTTATCAATAGCTCCTCATGCTAATTTTTTGTTTTCCTACCTTTGAAGGTCACTAGGGGTGTTATTATCAGCTGAGCTGCCTTCCTGCATAACTGATGCCCAGGCTCCCTGAATTGATGTGCACTAAAAATGTCCACTAGTTAATACATATTAAGCAAAACCATCCAATATTGATTTTACAATTTCAAGAAATAGAATCAATCTTTCATGAGTTCTCGTGATTAATTAATATAACTGCTAAATAAATAATTTCAGGTAATTAATAACTAAAATGACCTGCTTCGCCTCTCAGCCTTTAAGTTTTGTTTTATCTTTGTCTCACATGTGGAACTTTAAATATAATCAGCTTTGTTAACATGTACTTGCTGATTTCAGTCAGTGAAAACTCATTTTTTTTAGTCATTCACTTGAAAGTGGGAAAAAACAGAGCTGGCTGAATCTTTCCCATAAAAGATGGTTTTTTTTGTTACTGAGGTTTTTAAAGTTTTTTTCCCAGTTCCTCAATATTGCTCTTGCATTGAGAAGAGGACTCAGTATCCCATGACTGTGGACAGACAATAAACTGAATATGATAATTGAACCTATTTAATCAATCTCCTCCTTTTTGGGTACTCAAGGAGTGATTGCCTGGGATCCTGCAGAGAATAAAGTTCCTTATTGTGCAATTAGGCATCCTCTGCTGTAGATCTGGCCAGAATTAAATCTACATTTGTGGCTTTTAACAGGTATCAATCACTTGCCCTCTGCATGACTTGACACTTTCCCAATTGTTATCTGCAAATTTCATCAAATGAGTGACTCCCTTTCAAAGTATTAGAAGAAATATTAATATTCTGAAGTCTCCAAATGCTTTCTCCAAGGCCCCACTGTGAAATTCACTGCTAAGCACTGTTATTTTATTTTTTTTGTGTGTGTGTGTGTGTGTGTGTACTTCTGGAAGCAGCTGCTGGAGAATCTGGAATCCTTCTGTGTCTGTGCCTTGTTAGTTTTGTGTCAAGTGAGTTTTTAATCAAACTGTCATGTATTACTAAGCAAAAGACCTTTCAAAGATCCAATTATACCCACAGCACTATTTTAAGCAATTTGAAGTTTAATCATACCAAAATATGATGTAGGTTACTTTGAAAATATTTTAACCCACACAACCCTTTGTTTACCACTAACTGCATTTCTTGCCTCTATTTATGGAGTCTGCCACAGACATTGCATCATTTAATTTGGGAGTGCTGTCAGCTGAGCTGGCCCATAATTTCACAGGTCATTTTATTTTCATTGCTCAAATTTTTAGATAGACTAGAAACTATCTACAATTCTTTTGATGCCTTCACCCACTTTTCAAGGTTTATTAAAGTCAGCAGTAATAATATAGAACATTCTTAAACAACCAGCACTTTTAAAACTACCCATTCTGTATCCTTACTAGAAATACATATTGGTTTTGTTTTTTTCTCAATTTCCCTTAATTTTCAGGGGCATTTACCATTATAAATATGAAGACATCTCTGGGAGTTAGATTTTCTCCTTTCTAAAACATAAATTATAATTTTTCCCCATTACAGCAGTGTGACAATGCAGGGAGAACATCTCTTTTCATTGCTTTACAGTTAAGGACAAAAATTTCCAGCTTTATTCCCTCCCATTTCTTCAGCTATTTTGGTATTGCATTTGCTGGTTATTTTACTTAGATTATGTGTAAAAAATGCAAGAAATTTTGATTATCTCAAGATTCTGGAAAATTCTGCAAATAGCAGAGGAAAATTGCAGGACAGCTGAGAAACAGCTCAAAAACTCCTCAAAACCTGAAGGATCTTCTCTAGAGGGAAGAAAACCCTGGAATTATACTCTTGGCAGATCTTTTCCAACCTTAATTATTCTAAGTGACCAGGTGCAGTGCAGTTATTCTTAGGTTCTTTATGAAATTTGAATTTTCCTCAGCATTTACTGAGTGTCATGGGACAGTCACCTAAGTTTAGCTTTTTTTTTCCCCTAAAAGCAGGCAAACATATTTTTAAAGAAGTCTAAGCAGGAGGACACCATTACTTTGTGCAGCAAGTCAAAGTCTCTGTTGGCTGTTTGGACCAAAATCCATCATTATCTCTATAATTCTTTGTGTATTTTAGGGAGTAAAGGTTGCCTTCTGTATTACTATGAAGTAATTTTCCTAGTGGTGCTTTAATTTGAGATGTTAATTTTCCTTCTTATGATTTTTTTTATTATTATTAGCATAACCTTTGGAAAAGTGCACAGGTTTTGTAGGGAATTAACACACTCAGGGCTTGATTCACTGGTGCCTCATTCCAGCTTTGTGTGGCAAAGCACAGCTTCAAGCTGGAGCAACATGGTGGTGTGGGAAGATCTAAATGTTAATTGGGATGATGTTCATTCAGTTTAATTGTTCTTTGCTGAGCCATGATACAAGCAAGGAGCTGGGAGCTGTAAGAAAATCACGGGAAGTGCTTGGGTGGCCAAATTGGATGCATGGAATGACCACCAGCAGATTTTGGAGAGCACTCACAGCCTGTGATGAGGTTTTATGTCTCTTTTCTGGTTCCAAGACTTGGAAGTGTTTTACAAGATAAGTGGATATTAGGGTTAAAGACTGGAGTATCTGCATGTTAAAATGTGATTATTAATGGTGAAAGCAGGGAGCTTTTATCTACTCTAACAGCATATTGAAACTGAAGAGAGTTAAAATGGCATCAAAATACAAAACCTGGTTTCCTAAAAGGTGTCATTGCAGCCTGCATCTGAGTGTGAAGAAGTGGAAGATTCTGCATGCCCTCATCACTACAGTCCATAAAATTACTAATTGCTGTGTTCAGAGGTGTAGATTGAACTGTGTATGGGTTTAAGTATCTAATTTTGGTGCCCCCTCATTTTAAAATGATTCCTTTAATTATTCTGTTTCTTAATATATGTAAAACAGCTTTTTGTGGTGGAAAATGTGAAACTGTTGGAAACCTTCAGCAACCAGAATTCATTCAGGAATGTGCAACAGAGGCTCAATCCAGTCAGTTTATCCACACTGATTATGAAGTAAACACTATTTGATGGTATCACTTTATATTCAATATCAATCCACCAGTGTTTCAAAAAGAATAATTTAACAATGAATAATGCTTGATTGTAGATCTCTGTAGCAAATTAGAATATCCTAATTTAATAGAGTGTGATCTGTTATTTGCCAACAAACATACAGATTGCCTTATAAATCATGCAGCAGTGTGGTTATAGAATAACACTAGACTGGATTATATTTCATTACTCCCTATTGAACACTCATGTTTCTACCATGTAATGTAATTTTCCATCTTTTAACTTCGTTTCTTTTACTAACAGAAATACAAATTAGTCCCAGGGAAAAATATTTACTAGGGGCAGGCAATTAACTGTGCATTTCAGGGAATGGCACCACGGACGTGAATGTCATAAAAATGCTTTTTTTTGGTTTTCACCTCAATATATGTAGCTGTTTATGTATTTGATGAACTATAATGAGTGTAAGGCCAGAGCACAGGAAATAAAATAGCCCAGGTAAGTGTAGATTAATGTGGTTTCAAATACAGGCTTTCTGTAATGTCTGTTTTTGTTCACATCAGTCACTGACCCTTCAGAAGGAGATTTCTCCTGAACTCTTCTGTTAATGATGCAAAATGCTTGAGGTGAAGTATGGTGTGGCTTTTGTTATTGCCCTATGACTGTTTGTCCTGCTCACCTTGCTCAGCATTTATATTACACAGCCATGTGCTCCCAAATTAGGGAGCAGGAAAGGTTTGGAGTGACACAGGCCGTTTGTACTAATTAAAAATAGCTAAAAATTTACTGAACTGTGTGGGGTAGAATCAAAGAGGTAAAATAATACTACCTCCCATATCATTCCTACAGTCTGGGAAAGGCATAGGTAATTGAAGCAGCTTCCATGGTATATCTGAAAGGCTTTATCACAAAAAACATCTATCCCACTCTTGGGTATTTTAAGAAAGGGATAATTGAACATCATAAGTAGTAACCTGGCTTGTTACAGTCCTTAGTGGTATATTTTTAGGATTTATTACTTTCAGAATATCCACTTGGATCTGGCGAGTACCTGATTCACGTTGTGGAACATTGAGGCATTGCCTTGGAAGTCCCCATTATATGCTGGAATCCTTTTGAAAATTTTGGCCAGGGGTATGTACTTCACTTCAGTGTGTGATGGAAGCTTGCTGACTGGGAGTCCCAGTGTTTTGAAGCTCAGCAAGCCCTTGAGGGCTCTTACATCCTGAGGACACCCAGGAACCTCAGGCAGGTTCGTGCATGGGAGAAGCACAAAGGCACAAAAAGCCTGGTAACCACAAAGTAACATTCCTTGAGACCAGAAGTAACTCACACATTACAGGAGCTGCCAAAACCTGCAGTTAACTGTCTCATCTTTTGATTTCTGTAGGGGTTTCAGAAGCTCCTTTCATCTTTTCAGATGGGATTCTTTAACAAGCTCAGTGCTGGCCTCACACTGTTCCTGTAGACATCACTGGGGGGGTTATCCTGGGCTAACAGGAATAATTAGAACAAACTGGAACACTTGGGAAAAATCCCTGTTGACCTGTTTTGCAGCTGACATGTAACAGTAAATTTTTAAAGGTTTAAATAAGAAGTGAAGGGGTTTTTGTGAGAAAACAGAAAACTTCTTAAATTGTAGAAAAAGAATCAACAACCAAAAAAACTCACAAACAGACAAACAAAAAAACAACCCCCAGACAACACAAGCTTTTCCTTTAGCTTATTAAAAAAATGTAATGTGAGGTACCACAGTCTTACCTTTCCTGTTCAGTGCACGATATTGCCTGTGCTGGATACTCCAGGGTACCCCGAGGAAGAGGATTTGTTCCATCTTTGATGAGATCTGGGAGGATCCAGGCTCCAGTCAGGAAATGGCCCAGTGATCCAGCTGTGGAATAACCTTGCTGCATTTTGCTTTGGAGTAACCTTGCTGTATTTCATTTTGTTTTCTGTTTTTGCAGCTGGACAGTGCCACTTCTCTCATCCAGGCAGCTAAAAACCTGATGAACGCTGTGGTCCTTACAGTGAAAGCATCATATGTGGCTTCTACTAAATATCAGAAGGTCTATGGCACTGCTGCAGTGAACTCTCCAGTTGTATCTTGGAAGATGAAGGCCCCCGAGAAGAAACCTCTAGTAAAGAGAGAAAAACCAGAAGAATATCAGACAAGAGTGAGGAGAGGGTCCCAGAAGAAACATATTTCCCCTGTACAGGCCTTAAGTGAATTTAAAGCTATGGATTCATTCTAAACCACTGAGCTTTACCAGGAGGGTTTTATATTCTTTTTTGTACGCATACCTGCCGACTTGTGTGCGTCTGGCATGGGGAGGGGGGGACAAAGTGACAATTTGCATGCGACCTGAGCCTCTATTCCAGTAAATAACTCTCTGCAGTGCCCAAAATTCAGGGCATTGCCTTCTGATGTTGAGTGGACTTAACTCCAAGCTTCCTTTTTAAAACTAAACTATCGCATTAAATTGGCCAAAGAATTTGCGTCACGGGGGTGTATACGTGTGGAATAAATGATAAATTCAAGTCTAAACCCCGAAATTTTTATGCATGCAAGAAACATTAGGTTGGCAGGTATATTAAGTGAAAAATAATAAAAAAAAAAGGAATTGTAATGGTAGACCATAAAGCTTGTATTGCTTCTGTTGCAGTGCAAAAATGTACTAGCCAATATGCTTCAATGTGTGGCCCAATAATTAAATGATATAACTTTTAAGTCATCTTCATTATAGTATGTGAATTTTTAAAACAGATTCAAACTAATTCATCTTAAAAATGCTTCTTTTGAACCAGATTTTGTTCTTTATATTCTAGTAGTGTTATGACTGCTCACATTTCAATTAATCCCATTAATATGACCAGAGGTTTACTTTTGCCAATTGAATTCCTTATGGTGGAGTATGAAGCACAATATGGTGATTGACATTGCCTTTTATATTATGATTATTATTATTCTGATTATTATTATTATTATATTAGTAATAGAAGACCTGGTGGTGGAATGTTTAGAGACACGGAAACTGACAGTGTGAGAATTTAGAGGCAAATATGTAGGTGTAGCTTGGATTACAGGTATCTGACATACCATTGTAACCACTAACTCAATAAACTCATTTAATCTTGGAATCCTCAATCTGGCTCGTCTCCTTTAATGCACAGGGATCTCCTGAACCACAGGAGATGTCTAGAGTTACTAATTCTGCTTTGTGCTTCCTTTTTTATTCTTAATTTTTTGTGAATTTTCTCATTTTTTAATAACCAGAATAAGCCAAACATGGTCAGTGAGTCAAAATCAGAGTTTAAATCTGAGAAAGGTTTTACCCTCAATACACATGAGGCATATGTGTCATGAAATTATTTGTTTAAATGCAACACCTCAGAACAATCATAAAGAGAATTCAGTTCATTCACTTGTAAGGTTGGCACTTCACAATCTTGGAATCATCTATTGTGCCATGCTTTACAGGCCTGTACAAAGTCCACTGCACAAATACCTACATTTATTCCCTTTTGACACCAACAGTTCCTTAATTACAGAGCCTGTATTGCCATTATCAAAAAGGCTGGGTGTATATATAAAAGAAAACAATGAGCATCTATTAATTTTTCTTGTAATTAGATAATCAAGTGGAACATTTGTGGCCTCACAGGGGATTTGAAACACTGTGATAAACACTGAGTTCCAGCAATAGTGACAAGTGTAGCCCTTGCAGAGTTTTTGAGAGATGTTTGGATGTTGTCTCAGATACGCTGATTATTCCTCAGAATAGCAAAGCACCAAATTTTGTTCTATTGCCCTCCTACACAGTCTATGTAAAGAAATGTACTCTCAGAGGTCTTTTAGGAAATTACTATTTCTGCTTTCTTTGGTTGTACTGAGTAATAAAAGCAGTTCCCCAATCAGAGATGGAGAGTGTAGGCATGACCAAAATTTGAGATGTGGGGAAGTCCTTGCAGAGCTTTCCCTACAAAGCCCTGGAGTGTGACATAGACTGACATTGCTTGTGGTAATAATTAACCTCCTAAAAGTAATTAGGATCTTTACAAATGAGGCTACTGAGACAAAAGACAGATACAGAGTCTAAAGACGAAAATAGCAAATATCAGACAAGTAAAAATGTCCTGGCAGGCTGCATGGAAAAGGAAAATAGGCAATTTACCATGAAGAAAAGCAATAGCCCTTCTTCAGAAGTGTTTTCCTCTGAAACTCTGATGGATTAACTCAATGGTTGCTTTAAAATGATGCTGTTGCTCTAAAAGGCATCTCAAATTTGGAAAAGTTTAGAGGAAAGCACGGAGTCTGATGGATCCTGTGAACATGTGGACTCACCTGTGCTGGGGGCTCCATGGATAAAGATCACAGTGAAAAGAGTTTGGGACCAGCCACTCACTCAGAATAGCCACTGTGTCTGTGAAATGCTCCAGGAAAATCAGTCAGTGAGGGAAAAATCCAGAGGGATTTTGGGCAAATTAGTCCATGGCCATTAGAGTCCTGCTTTTGGATGGATGGTTTGCCTTTTGTCCATCTATGCTCTAAATATCTTCATGGCCACACAATAAAATGTAGTGTTGATACATTATAAATTAATGCACATGAGAAAATGAGCCAGGAGCCAACCAGGACGTGCCAGTTCAGTGCCCAGCTCGTGTAGTAAAGCCAGCAGGATGAGGAAGGTTTGATAGAGGAAAATATTGGGTGCCTGTGTTTGAATTGTTCGTGCAATTTTCATCCACTCATCTGAAACAAGGGATGGAAAAGTACATGGAAACATGAGAATCATTACAAAATCTGGAATTGCTGTCATGCAAGCAGAGACTAAATCAGGTAAGGCACCAACAGTTTTGAACTATATGTGCTTTAAGGTCCCTTCCAACCCAAACCATTCTATGATTCTATGAATCTAAATAAGCAAAAATAAGCACTAAATCTAAATAAACAAAAAAGTAACCACTGGCCCTTAGAACTCAGAAATCCAGTGTTGCAAAGTGAACTGTCAAACATCAAGTTCAATATTAAAAAAAAAAATCTTAAAATAAGTGATTGTGAAATTCTTTTTCACAATGCCGTAATTGCCACAATGATAATTCCATTAACTTCACCAATCAAGAATTTATCCCACAGTATTTCCATCTTCAAATCTTGCAAATCTTACAGATCTGGAAGAATTTTGAGTGTAGTATAAAGGGTAGGCATAAAAAATAATGTGGATTTTGTAAATGTTCTCTTGAGACATTCCTCCATTGAAAAAAGGGAACTCCACACTTCTGCTCAGAAATCTGCAGCCCTTTCTCATGACTATCACCTTGGTTCTCAGCCTAAATGTGTGGGTATCACACATCTTCCTGTGTACCTGGAAAATGTTCAAGTTGTACCAGAAATGCAAGAGGAGTGAATATATTTATATATTTCTTAATGACAGAACTTAGTTATTTTTAAATAATTTGCTTCCAGCTGATAAATATGCAGCAAATGACTGTTTTGAAGAGCAACATGAATGGCAGAGAGGCCTCCCTGAGCTGGAGACAGTTTCTATTGGTGGTTTCAAATTCTGTGGTCGCTCTTCCTGTTATTCATATGCCAGGCATTGTATTTCTCTGTGAGAATTAGACACCCAAGGTACAAAGTCAGTCAGAAATGTCTGTAGCTTTTCACCTGTGGCCATGAGAAGAAGGCTAGAGAAAATGTTTAGCTTTTTATTTTGATAAACTTCCCATTTGATAAACTTCCTATTTTGGCTTTCCCCTTTTAATAAACCATGGGAAAATGACCATGAAGGTATTTCAATTTATAATACACATCTTCAGCAAGGAGACAGTTCCTGAGTTAAGAAGTCAGAGAACACAGAAAGCTGTAGATAACTTTCAAAATAATTTTCCTAAGGTTGTTTTTTTTTCCCTTACTTGTTTATTTATTATAATGACAATCTGAAAGTGAGGAGTTATCACAGCTAAATCTGTATTTTAGGTCAAGAAGCTACTGAGCAGGTTGTTACTACAAAGGAAGAGATGTTTGAGGTGTAGCAAAATAACTTAGTCCATTGCTCAGACACAGAACTTTTTAATCCTTCATTCCCACTGATCTCAATCTCATTATTGAACTCACACATAAATTTAAGTGCCTGGCTTCATATGAAGGATAGTTTTCATATGTTTAAAGCTGAACAAATGAAATGTTTAGACAGTAAGGGAATGGGGGATAAAGCACCTGCAGAAATTCCCTTTGATCCAGTGATTTCCTGCTACACTGCCTTCAGAGTCTGAAATGCTGATCTGTAGTTCAGCTCTTTTACACCTTAGAAAGAAGTGGACCAAGGTGTGGAAACCCAGAAGGAAACAGTCCCATGAAAACAAAAATACCGTGTGGATATTTTTATATCTGGTGCTTTGTTCTGTATCCCAATGACAGCTGGCCAAAGCAAAGTTCCTGTGTCTCTCTGAAACTCGATTTTAATACAGAGGATGGATATTTATAGACTTAAAATGACATTTCTCTGTATAAAAATGCAGATTTCAGTTGGATTTTCAAGCAAAAATTTAGTAGGTTTGGGGTTTTTTTTAAATAAACCCCCTGGTATGAATCTGAATTAAAGGCATGTAATGGAAATAAGTCAATGTATCTTTTTTCACTCTTTTTATAAATACACAGAATTGTTTTTATAAACAACCCCTCAGACCAGACTGGGCTGTTCATTAAATTTGCCAGGTGATGAATATGTGTGTGAAGAAGGAAAGAAGCTGGAAGAGACAAAAAGGATAAAGTTTAATGGTTGAAACTTCATCAGGAGCTTGCCCAGAAGGGAAGGGTCAGGTCTGAAGCTGTGTCCAAGGGCAGGCACATTATCCCACAGCATCCTAGCAGGAATTCAGGCCCCTCAGAATCATCCTGATTCTGCTGCTGAGCTGCACCTGCAGAAATCAGGAATAACCAAGATTTTTTTCCTGTTTCTCACTGAATGACCAAGTGCATCCTCGAGCGAGGGTTCGCACATTTCTCTTGCTTTAGATATTTTTCCCTTTATGACTCAGTTAACACCAAGTTATGGAGAACTTGACAGCTTGATAAAAGCTGTGGGAGGTAGAAATGTATTTTCATGCTCTAGTTATACCTTTAAAGGAATAAATATTTAATTACTTGAGGAATGTTTCCTCCTTTTGATAATGTTGGGTGAGGTGTCATAGGTGAGTAGCTGTTGCCCAATCTTATCTTCCCCCTTTGGGCAAAATTTCAAAGTTCCACTGTTGTTTGGTAAGTCCTGAATAATAATGGGCTTGAAAAGAGTGGAATCATTGCAGAATGTGAAATGTTTATGCTTACCTGCTTTATCCCAGCTCACTAAAAATTAAACATAAGGAAGAAAGAGAGATAAAGTAGGGTTTCCAAAGCCTCCTAGAATATTCAGAGGTAATGACTCTGCTAGGAGGATGTGTTTGATCTATTATTTTCTTTTCCTGAAATATTTAATGCAGAAATTATTTAAAAAAAAAAGGTTCTTTGGCCTGCATTTTGAGGAGGCCATATTAAATTATCTTTATGGTTCTGTTTTCTCAGTGAACCATAGAATTAGATGCTAGCAGGAGGATAAATGAAAACAAAAATCCACTTTTAAATCTTAATCTCTCATAACCTACTTGACTATTTTTCTATAACTGTGACTGTTTTTAATTATGTGTACTCTACTTGTGCCTGCACAAAAATTTCCAGGATACAGAGAAATGACCAAAAATCTGACAAGCAGAAATCTACACCCCAGGAAGAAGCTGTTGCATTTATTTAGCTGGAATATTGCATGAATGTCACACACAGGACCTTTGGATGAGATGTGATGAGTTTTTTGAGATCTCTGCAGATCCCAATGCCTGAATTTATATATATATGTGTGTGTATGTGTATTTATATAGATATATATATATATATATATATTGGGCCTATATTGGGCCACTTACTCCGAGGCAAACACTGGGGCTGGAGCTGTCCAGGGAAGGGAACAGAGCTGGGGAAGGGTCTGGAGCCCCAGGAGCAGCTGAGGGAGCTGGGCAGGGGCTGAGCCTGGAGCAAAGGAGGCTCAGGGGGGCCCTTGTGGCTCTGCACAGCTCCTGACAGGAGGGGACAGCCGGGGGGGTCGGGCTGTGCTC